CCCCCTTTCCCACCCGTGCAGACAACCTCTGTAGGCGATAACCAAGTCTAAAAACTCGGAGAGGATCGATAATGTCTACTAAATATTCCGGGAGTGTGTGAGCGTGGCAGGGAGAAGGGGGGAGGATGGAGAGGGGGATAAAATGGTGATTAATCAGATATTAATCACTGGCCACAAACAAGGGGAGATTATTTCGGGTAGGCAACCGAATGTGGGGAGTTGCAGAATAGATCCTTTTACTGAAGGCACGCGTCATGGCATCAGCACTTCACCATTTAGCGATGCCTCTATAATTTTGAAGGTGCACGTTATTCAAGCCACGTATTTATTCTTTTCTCTGTGTGTAGCATTTCCCCTCACTATCTCCAAGCACAGACTTAAGGAATATATTTCTGCCGCTTACTAGAGGTTTCCTTTTAGCTCTCATTTCATGAACGCAGAACGACGAAGAAAGCAAAATAGCCCTTGAGCCGAAAAACAGACAAAAAAAACCAAAAACCCAAAACCCTACCCCAACCCTCCCCACACATCAGGGAAAAGGGACCAAAGGAGGAAAGAGAAGACGTGTCGATCTTTGCACCCAGCGGCAGACCATCGCTTCAAGGCTGAATTGCTAACGTACCTTTTCGACAGGCAGGGAGCCCTGCGTGCATACAAACAGCTGAGCGTGAGGCACATTTCGGGCTGCGAGACGGCTACGCACACGCTGGGCTCCTCCGTAACTTTCCCCACGCAACGGGTTAAACTAATAAGTGTATCCATACAGGCATTTCCGCAAAGAGCTCGTTGCTCGAACGAAAACCAGAAATGTAGGTAATCCCCCCACACTACCATCATCATCACCTTAAAAAAGTCAGTCGGTGCGATTTGCTTGAATATACACTAGTTAGAGGCTATATGAACCAACTCACGTCTCCGTTTAAGAATACTGCAAGAATATTTATTGAGCCCCAGCTCAGTCACTGCATTGAACGCCAAGCCTGGCAAGCAAATACATTTCCTATCTCCGAAGAGAGCTCTGAATCAACTCCTTCTTTCCTCCCCTCTTTAGCCATCGTTTGTATCTTTCCATTGCAAAGTACCCAGGGTAAAAATATAAAATAAGAGATAAATACATTTTTAAATGCATCTTGGTATAAGGCGAAAGCTTGCAACGCCGTGACCGAAAGCAAACGGACCCCTAAAAATGTACCCCTCAAATACTACCCTACCTTTCACACACGAAACCATCAATAAAAAGACGAGGTTCCAAAATGTAAATCCACTTTTAATCTCCATTTTCTTCACCAGGATGAAGTCCAGCCGGCCACATTTAGTACATCCTCTGTCCGAAAAGTCGGCTAATTTTGATTCCTTTGCACGGCTTTCCCCTCTGCAGATCCCTTTCATATTATTCTGGAGACCTCCTATTTCCTATTCCTCGGCCAGGCGCAGCGGAGTTGTTGATGGTGCGCGGTCACAGCTCGGAGTGAATGGTGTTTCTGGGATACCACAGCAACCTTGACGAGGACTCAACCATCTCTCCAACGGGGGCACAAAGTCTCAGCTACTCTCGATCGCGTCTTTTCCTTCCCCCCACCCCCTCCCCCGCTACCCCAGCTCCCTGCACAGCCGAA